ATCGTGAGAAGAATTTTTTTTTTTTTTTAAATGTTTACCAGCCTTGTTATTGAAAACAAAAAAAATTTTTTTTTGTTAAAGATGAAGTACGATAATCCCGTAGGGAGAAAATTTTAAATTTACCCCCCCCTATTTATTTGACCATTTACAAAAAATATTTTTCTACTCCCTATTTCAACTAAATTTACTAATATGTGCATAAAATTTAGTTTTTCCTTTTAGTTTTAAAGCAAGATTTTAACTTTTTTTTAATGGTTCAAGGTGCTTAAAAAAAAAAAAAATTTAAAAGCCTATCCGAAGGTTCTGAATTTTTTTTTATAAACCTTGACACACAATAAATTAATTATTAAATGTTTTATCGAATATTTCCCCCCCCCCCCGCTGATAAAACCGTTAAAATTTTTTTTTTTGAATGCGATATTTAGGCGTAAAAATAACACTTACCCCAACCCCCTAAGCAAAAAGGTTCCATTTCCGGTGCGAAGAGAACGTAAAAAACAATTGACCACATTATAGGGAAGATGCAAACGAATAAAATTTCTCGAGATACCTGAAAAATAATAAAAAATTAGATGATAATAATAATTTTTTCCCGAATCCTCTCTTTCATTCGAATGATGACGATAATGTTATTAACTTATTAAAAAAAACTTAAACGAACGGAAATTAATATAAACAATAACAATATTAAAAAAAGTAATCGATCCTTATATATTTTAATTTTTAATTGATCAAATATTAAATAAATAAATAAATATTCAAAAAAAAAAAAAAAGAATAAAAAAAAGGGACGAGTATAAAAAAAAAATAAAACGACAGATCAAAGATAAAAAATGCTGTCAGGTAAAGTCGATGTACACGATATGTTGTTCGGTTCAGGTATCTGGTATACCATCCAGTGGAACGGATACTTGACATCATGCAAACCTAGTTGACGTTAACATGTCTTTCACTTTAGTCTTGTTTGAATTATGATTCAAAACCTTTTATATCACTTTTCGATTATGATTATTATGATGTTTCTCTTTCATTCATCTCCTACGCACGTACGCACGCACGCACGTTTTTATTAATTTAATTTTTTTTTTTAATAAATTATTTAAATTAATTGATTTGAATTATGCCGCCGCGTACGCCGCGTGTTCCGGTAAACAAATAACGGCCGTTAAAAACTCGCGATTTTTTTTATTATTAATCAAAACGCGCGTTAATTTTTTTTTTTTTTAATAAAACGTCGCCATTTTTGTTTTTTACCCCGCAATTTTCTCATTACTATCCTAATTTTTTTTTAATTATTATAATTATCCGTCGGAAAATCAATTTTTTATGCTTTTAGTAATGTTAATAATAATAATACGTTTTCATTGTAAAGATGTAAAAAAAAAACATGCGAATGTTTAAACACTTACGTAATAAAATATTAATTTATTACGGGGATTCAAACGTGGGGATTCACTATCATTTTATCATACTATATTAAATAATTTTAAAAATAAAAAAATTAATGGAGTTATAGGTTTTTTAAATTAATACCTGTATAATGTTTATAAAATCCTGTACGAATTGAAGTCTTCTTCTTCTTCTTTTATTTAATGACGTTTGTATTTTGTTTATTGTTATTAACAACAAAACAACTTTTGTTTGTTATGATAGATTTTTATCCTTTTATGAAAGTGAGAGTGACAACTGTCCATCGTGAGAAGTACATCAAAAAAGTAAACATACCTATTTAAACAATATCATTTATTTATTTTCCTACATGGAACACGCAAAAAAAAAAAAAAAAAACTGTGTTTTCTCCCCAGACAATGGAATGAATATAAAAAATTTCTCAAAGGAATTTAAAAAAAAAAAAAAAAATTATATATGAATGAAAAAAATCAATGAAAATATTATTATTATTAACGATTTTACCTTTTGAAACTTTTTATTATTATTTCATTCTTCGATATCAGTAACAACATAAACATTATTATTATCATCGGACAATAATTTTTTTTTTCTTCTGCTTTCCTAAAAAAAAAAAAAAATATGAATTTAAGTATCAGAAAATAATTTTATAAAAATAAATTAAAAATTATTATTAATATTTTTTATACAACGTTTTTTCATTTATTTTACGGTACAATTTATATAAAAAAAATTAACGGTCATTATTTATACGTTTTTTTCTTTCATTTAAATTATTTAAAAAAAAAGAAATTATTAATAATTTTTTTGATAGATAATAATAATAATAATAATAAATTTTATTGTGTAAAAAAAAATTAACAAGGCACCCACGAATTTTTTTCTTTTTTTTTTCGGAAAAATTTCAGATGAAAAATAAATGATAAAATCCTATTGGTCAATTTAATTGACCTCGACGGTTACAATCAAGTCACGTGAATAATTATTTTTAACGTTTATATTAAACTTGCGAAAAGTGTTGAAATTTTAAATTGTTATTTTTTTTCCCTAAGAAGAATGGTTCATACTGAAATTTTACCATGTTTTTTACCATTTTTTTAAAATTTCTTTTTTCAAAAGATCCGCCTTTTTAATGCGAACCGACGTTAGTTGACCGTAAAAAAAAACGTTTAACCTTTGTAAAAAGCAAACTTTTTAAAATGCGAATTATATAAAATGACATTTTCCCATTTTTTTTTTTTTTTTTTTTTTTTTACCTCATTCAGTTTAGTTGTAATTTCTTAGTAAACTAATTACGCGTTTTTTTCCGAAATTTTTTCTTTTTTTTTTTTGTTTTTTTTTTTTTTTTGGGTGGTGGTGTTATTAACAACTACAACTTTAACATTCGTAGAGAATAAATATTTGTGACGAAGTTAATTATTAATTTGTTAAACGTAACATATTAATAATAATTTTAATATATTAAAAATGAATTTTAAATAATATTTTTTTTTAGATGTTTATAAACTTTTTAGGTAATAAAACAAATCGTATTAAAAAAAATCAGTACGCGCATACAAACATAAACACATAGCGGATAATTAAACGGAAAAACTAATTAAACAAACGGGTAAGATTAGAAGAACATTTTATATAACAAATTAATAAGTTAATTATTAATAAGTTAATACCCCGAATTTTCTCTTAATACTATTAATAAGATATTATTATTAATAAATGTTATTAAAAGGTAATTTTAAAACAATATTATTCGACTTTTTGGTAATTAATAAATCAATTAAAATTATTATTATTATTAAAAAACCGCGCTTTAAAATTTCATTCATATTTTTATTACGCTTTTTTATTTTGAGTAAACATTGTGAATGAATTTTCGCATAGGCACGAAAAAAAAATAATAATAATAACTAAAGCGAAAAAAAATTTACGTTTATTTACGAAATCCACTGAATCCCTTAACTTAAGTGATATTTACATAAATTATTAAATATACTAATTAATAAATAATTAAAATTCGATCCGATTGAAAATTAACTTTTCGATTAGTATAATCATACCGAAATTTGAATTTTATTAAAATTACACAATATCATATCAAATACTAAAATTTATAAAAAATCCGGCGGTACTCGTATATTCGAATTTCGTAAATAATTATTTTAATTATTTTAAATCACGTTAATAAATTAATTAACAAGTAATAAAATATAATAATGATAATATTTAATAATTCCTCCATTAAAAAAAAAAATTTCTCGTCAGAAATTTTAATTTTAATGAAGTGTAAAAAAAAAAAAAATTAATTAGGAAACAGAAAGAAAAAAAAAAAATTGCCGTGACTATAAAATTCTACAACCACGAAAAAAAAAAAAAAATCAAGCCTATTTATAACATCAATAAAATAATTGCATGTTTTTCATTATTATTAACACCGTGAATGAAAGGAAAGAAAGAAAAAAAAAATGAAATTTAATTATTCTCCCCTTGTCTCCCCCTTTCTCTCTCTCTCTCTCATTTTCTCCCTTTTAATTTTTTCCACTTTCTCCCTCTCTCCCTCTCTCTCTTTTTCTTTTTCTAATTATAACGCGTCATTTATCTGTCATTATGTAATTTTTTAATCGTTGTGTGAAAAAAAAAAATTAATAATAATAATAGTAGTAAAACGTTTCAACGCAATAAAAATTATATATATAATCCTTAACACTAATAATTGTTTTTAATTATTATTATTATTATTATGTTAATAATAACACGGACAAAATGCTCATTTTGACCAAAAAAATTCACGTGAACAAAAAAATTTTAACAAACACGAAAAACAAAAAAAAAAGGTGAACAATCGTGACGACTTATCACACGAGAGGGAGTGTTTGTTTTCTTCTCTCTCTCTCTCTTTTTGTGTTTGATAAGTTTAACATCAATTTGTTTTTAACAGAAAATCAATTAATAAATAGTATATATATACACAAACATTATTTAATTATCGTTAATTAGTTTACCATTGAATGACGTTTGACAAAACTTTTGACATTTTGTCTATACAAGTCAAAAAAACAAAAAAATCATTTCGTACTACAAACATTCATTCATTCATTCATTCATTCACTACCGTTTTCACGGATAAAATTTTAAATTATTATTTAATTATTTTTGTTATCAATAAATTATTTCTCCGATAAATTAATTTTATAAATTTTTTCATAGAATAAAAAAAAAAAAATATTTTAACACTCTCTTGTATTCTCGCGAATCGTATTTTTTTATATTTACTTCGCCTCTCGAATTTTTCCAGATCAAAACATCGGATTATGATCGATTGTAAAAATTATGCGGGTTCGAGTTTTTTTTTTTTTTTTTTTTTTTTTTCAATTCTTCGAATAATCATTTAGCACATTTACCTTTTCCTAATCAAGATTTAACCTTCTTATCAGTTAAAAACATGTAAATAAAAACTACCGTATTAATATTATAAAATCAATTTTAATCATTCAACGAATGTGAATGAATTTATTACGAAAAGGGAATTCATACGAAAATATAATATTTTAATTTTTTTTTTTGCGGACAGGTAAAAACAACTCACGGTTAAAATGACTACCATGAACATGGGAAGTTGCGGAGGATACGGAACCGGCGGTGATACCTACAACGCGTATACCTACGATGGATACTATCAAAGTTACAACAACGTGACCAACAACGATTATCCGGTACCACCGACAGAAAGTTTTCACTATCAACCATCTTATTACAACTGCCAATCATCTTATTACACGAGAAACGACAAAGTTTATCAAAAAAATTGTGAGGAATTAATGATAAGAAAACACTGCGACGTCGAAGGTATAATCACGTCGGATAACGGTTTAAGTTATACTAATTTAGATAGTTATCAAGTGTACAACAACAACAATAATAATAATAACAATAACAACAACAACAACAACATTAATAATAATATTAGTAATAAAAAAAGTGTTAAAATGGATAAAACAACGGAAGATAATAATAAATCTAATTGGTACGTAAATGATGAAATCGGACAATACATGCAGTGCAGTGGCGGTTCAGATTTTGATAATTTTAATTTGCATTACGTAAAAGACGATTATCAAACCGAAATTTGGGGAGGCGGAAATACTCATGCTCCGGATGACGTGTACGCATCTCAAAACATGCAAAATCAAAACAAAAACAACAGGCTGCTAAATATAAACAATCCTCACGAGTCGTCTATAGGCAAAGCGGTACCGACTTATAAATGGATGCAAGTAAAGAGAAACGTACCCAAACCTAACGGTAAGAATTCAATTTTTTTTTTTTTTAATAAAAATATGAAGATTTCAAAAAAGAGAGAGAGAGAGAATTATTTTTACGATAAATAAAACGAATCAAAAAAAAAAAAAAGAAAAAAATGATTTAAGGTTTTAGATTCTGGGGGGACGATTTTGATGTTTGTAAAGATTATTCAATGTATCCATAAATCCATCGTATCGTATCGTTATCAGTTGGATTTGATTGTATAAATTTAAAAATGTCATATGTGTCGTATCCCGTTTACTAACTATCCTACCTAATCATTGAAATTTTAAATATTATAATTTTTTAAAAAATTATTTTCGTCGGTAAACGTACGGGAAATTTCGTCCTAAAATTTTTTAGGTTTTCGCGACCTCTTCCTCCCCCCGAAACTTATAGCTTAAAAGCATGAGAATTTTTTTTTTCCCCGTTTATTTGTTTTAAATCAAGGCAGACAAGCTTAATATGTATGAGAAAAAAATCAATTTTACCAACGTGATATTCTTAATAAAATAAAAATTAAAGACAACCAAGGTGGACTCCATTTGCACAAAAAAAAAAAAAAAAAAATTAATATTCTCTGTGTTTTCTATTAAAAAAATCTTACTGTATATAAAAAAAATTATGCTATCGAAAATTTTTCGTGTCGCACGCACTATAAAAACATAAATCTTTTTAAAACTCAATAAATCGCATCTCTCGATAAATATTTATTTATTAAATCCACCTTTTAAATAAAAAAAAATTTCGATTTGGTTTCGAATCATTTCCTAACTCTCCCATTCTAAATCTAACTCACGAAAATCATCACTAATTATTAATATTAATCCCTTCCACTGACAAAAAATAAATAATAATAATAATAACGACGACCATACTCTGCACATTCGCAACTTTTTTTTTTTTAATTAATTAACAATTCATTTTAGAATAAAACAAAACGTAATATTATCGTATATTGACCCACGAAGAAAGGTTGTTTTAAATGATAAGAAACGTTTCAGCCCTTTTACGTTGTTTTGATTGACATTTGCGTGGATAAATAGTTACCTTGTAATCGTATTACACGCATTTTAATAAAGTTTATATACGAACCCAACCAAAAAGTTATTTGTGCATGTAAGAACCCCATGTGTCAGCATTAGCATGGACTTGAATCAGATAAACATCGCACTTTTTTTTTCTTCCCAGGAGTTTCCTCTTTTTTAAACCTTTCAAAGCTTTTTCCTTTTCTAAAAAAAAAAAAAAAAAAAAAAAAAAAAAAAAAAATAATTATTAATTCCTACAAATCTCATATTGATTTTTAACATTTCCATTATTATTATTAGGGAATTAACGGGAATATAATTTATATTAATAAATATTAAATATTAAATAAATATTAAAAATAAATATTAAATATTAAATAATTTATTTTTATAGAATATTAGGGAATTAAAAATTTTTTTTTTCGGATATTACATCATACTAGATTTTCGAACTATCTATGGATTTATGATCTTTCTTTTTTTTTTAATTCGGAAAATATAAGGTGAATTTAAAACGCACACGCACACGCACGCACGCACGCACACGCACACGCACGCACGCACGCACACGCAAAAGAAAAACATTAAAAACTTTATACTTAATTTACGACCGTTTGTTAAACAAATAAACGTAACATTAGATTCCCTTTTTGATGCAATATTAAGTATTAAACTATGTAAAAATAATGAAAATGTAACATGATATTATCCACCTACGTAAATATTATTAATATTAACTCTTGAAAAGAGTTTAAGCCTTTTCTTTTTACAAGAGGGGGAGGGAGTTGAAATTAATAATTTAATTTTTTTTGTTTTTTTTTTTTAAATTTAAAATTTTTTAATTATAAAAGTTCAAAATTACGTTTTTTCGCTCATCGCCACGGGATTTGACAGGAAAAAAAATGGTGAATTTTTTCCTATTAATTTTTCCTTTTTTCGGCTTGTTTCCTTCATCCTTTCGAAACAGTACCTGAAAAAATTAAAATCAAACAAAAACCGTTAATTATTTAATTAAATTTTTTTATAAAACCGACATTATGAACCGTAACTCAAATTTTCAGAGGTCGGTATAAAAAAAAACCCGGAAAAACTGTTTTTTTTGGGGGGGGGAGGAGGAGGAAGAGTAAAAATTTTAAATTTATTTCATTTCCTCTTTTTTTTTTTTTTTCCTTTCATTAAATTTTCCATTGTTTAACTTCAATTTGCTTTTAATGTCAAATAAATTTCACTTGTCGAAAAGTTATAAATTTAAACTTTTTAATTGACAAATCGATGTTGCCCTTTATCAGGAAATGTTTCCCCTCTCTCTCTCTCTCTCTCTCTCACTGATTAATAAAAACTTTATAATTTCATTAAAAATAATACTTTTAATTAAAAAAAAATTTTTTTTTTTGACTATTTAAATAATAAAAATAAACCGATGATTTAAATCCAAATGCTTATTGCCATCGAGAAAAAAAAATTTATTTTTGCTGTAGTAGTAATTTCTAAAAAAAAAAATCGATAAAAAAATAATTTTCATCGATTCTACGATTAATTTAAAAAAATTTTTTTTTTGTTTCTATGAGATATTATCATTTACCTAATACGTATTTTGTCTTGCACACACGCACGCACGCACACACATATTTATATTTTTATCATTAATAAGCTACTTTTTACCCATCTTTTGTTATCTACACCCATTAGGTATCAATAAAAAAAAAATATATTCGAATCATTTTAATAAAATTGAAAATCAATAATGTCGATTATCAATTACTCCACATATTTATTTTAAAAAAAAATGATTTTTATCAACGCATATAAAATTTATTAAAGGCACCGCACACGCACGCACATTTGTAATAAGTAAATTTAAAAATTTTTTTAGGCTTTTATGTATAAGTAATAAAATTTTACGAAGGCGAGCCTTACGCGTACCTAAATTACAATTATATGAAAGCTTATTATCATTATCTGATAAGGCTGTTTAAAACGTTTTTTTGCAAACCTTTCTTAAAAAAAAAAAAATAATGGGAAATAATAATGATTTTTCTTACATAATTTTTAATTTTCCAAGTTCTGACGTGGTTGCAGTAAAAGGTTTTGTCGCCTTCGGTTTTCCTTTCGTTTCGGAACGAATATGCGATGATATTACCATTCAACAACCACCTCCCGTTTCTGCCATTTTATTATTATTATTATTATCATTTCCATTTTTTCCTTTTTTTTTGTATTAAGAATAAAATTATTAAAGGAGCAAAAAGAACTGATCAATCTTTCCAGTGAGACAGTTCTGATTCATTGTCAGGGGTCAATTCTGACTATTTTCTTTGTCCGTTTGATCGATCTCTTCTCGCATTTATACCAACGTATCCTTTTCAAATTTGTTTTTTTTTTTTTTATATCCTGTTGACACGATTTTCCAAACTTTGTGAGAAATTTCTTGTTTTCAAAGGTTTTCATCAGCCCTTGTTCGTGTGTGCGTGTGTCAGTGCGTGTGACAAGTCAATTTCGCAAATAATATTTTAAATTAAAAAAAAAAAAAAATTATGAAATTCTTACGTAATGAAAATGTAAACAATCTTGAGATTCCTGGAGCCCGATGTGCGTGTGCGTGTCCGTACACATATGAACTAAAAAAAAAAGAAAAAAATTTTTTTTTAATTAAATAAAAAAATAATTTATTTAATGGTTACATTAATTATAATTGGAAGGCAAAAATTACAAAAAAAAAAAAATTATTTTAAAAAACAAAAGCTTATTAAAAAAAAAAAATAAAGTGAAATTCTGAACGGGGAAAAATTAAAAATTTTCCCTTTTTTTTTGTTTTTCAATCCCTAATTTTTTTTTTTTTAATGGGAAAATATGATGAATAAAAAAAACATTCAAAATTTTTTCTATTTGAAAAAAAAAAAAAATTACTGGAATGACCTGGAAAATGAAAGATATCTCTTAGCAGCCGATTCCATGGCAAATAAACAAAATATCAATTTACAAAATTCATTTTTTTTTCTTCTTTCTCTCTCCCCCAATCTCTCTCTCTCTCTCGTGATTATTTCTATCTCTTTTCTTTTTAATGCTTTTTTCAACAATTAAGAAAAGTAAATAAAAAAAAAAACGCGATGACTTTATTTTTCTCCTGGAGAAAACAAAAAATCGGGAAAAATTTTTTACTTACTCGAATTATTATTTTTTTTTTAAGGAAAAAATTTCACGCGATAAAATATTATTATTATTATTATCATTACGTATATAAAGTCTTTCCTTTTGAAATTAAATAAAAAAAAATTAGTTTTGATTAACTTAACCGAGAACCATTAAAAAAATTACCTTTTCAATTTGGTTATGTTAAGGCGTCGTTGAGCCTTTCGAGTTTTTTTTTTTTTTTTTTTTTTTTTTCATTTTTACATAATCCCATCAGCGAGAGTGACTGCCATTCACTTTTTTTTTTTTTTTTTTTTGTTTTCGTTTTTCATGAGCTTTTACGGTTAATGTAAAATTCTGGTGTTGAAAAGACTTTATTTCATGTTGAAATTTCATTTTTAAGAAGACTACGCAAGTTTTTAGAAGAGAAAAAAATAATAATAATCATTTTTCTTTAAATGATTTGTGCAATAACTAAATTTTTTTTCTTTTTTGGAACTTTTTGTACGAAAAAAAAAAAAAAAGGAAAAAAGGAGAAAAATGTAGGAAAAAATCCCTTTCTATTCTCGGGGTATTTTAACCACCTCCTCATCCATCACTGTTGGTTGGTCTCACCTTTCAGACTTTTCAAAAAAAATTTATATCCCATGGGGTCTCCCCGAATCTTACAACTACTATGCCTGATTTCGCGCTACCATATGGCGTTATTTTACTGACCTCTAAGATTTTTTTTTGAATGAATCAAAAAAATAAGAAATTCACCAAGTGGAAAAATTCTTACAATTAATAATAAAAAGAAAAATTAAAGACGCTTCGTACAAAAATACAAAATATTATACCCATAATGTAAAACCCACGTTTTGTCAAAGAAAAAGAAAATTATTATTATTGTTTTTGTTTTCCGTGATTGTAGTTGCGCCTCCTTTGTAAAAACAATAAAGCAAAAAAAAAATAACAACAACAAATGTGAGCGTCCGGTCATCTGTTAATTTTGACAAATGAAAAATTTCTAAATCAACTCTTTCATCCCAAAAAATTGAAACTGACAGCAGATGTGACCGATTAGTTGGTCAGTTAAGTAACAAAACAAACTAAAAAAATCCAAAAAACATTACGTTTAGTTTTACTAAACTCTAAACGTGTATTAATTTGCTCGAAATTAGACAAAAATACATGATGTTGCAACTTAATTACATTTTCTTTTTTTTTTTTTTTTGTTTGCCTTTCTACAGTGAATCAAATCGCGCTGTGCAGTGCCGAATAAAATAAAATTTTTTTCTAAAAACAATGTTACCCGTCAAAATCGTTAAATGGATTTCATTCAATGTCACGAACACACCGAGAAAAATTTATCACCGAGATTTTTTTCCATAGATAAATAATTAATAAAAATATGTTTTACTTGTTTGTGTCCAGGTCCGAAAATACCGCCGACTCCACCGTCTGAATTCGGTCTCGTTAACAACGGTTACAATGGTACAATGCTCACGACGCCATCATCTAGTTGTATGCCTCTTAACAATCCTGGACTCCTATGTCAGAACAATACGGGTCGCACTAATTTCACAAACAAACAATTAACGGAATTAGAAAAAGAATTTCATTTTAACAAATATTTAACACGAGCTAGAAGAATAGAAATTGCATCCGCGTTGCAATTAAATGAAACTCAAGTTAAAATATGGTTTCAAAATCGAAGAATGAAACAGAAAAAAAGAGTCAAAGAAGGTTTGATACCTCCGGATAATTCAAATTTAAATAACGGCGTAGGTTTTCCATTGAACACCAGCAACAGTACGAGTAATTCACCGCAGGGATGCGTCGATAGCGTAGCTGGAATCCACAGCGAAAACAGTCAGGAATGATAATTGAAAATCGTACTCATGAGTAACTGAAACAAAAAAAAAAAAAAATGTATACAGTAACGTCATACTTTTGTTCTTAAAAAAAAAAAAAAAAATATTTGGCTCATGTCTAGTCACTAAAGGGATATTACAAAAAAAAAAAAAATCAACATCAACTCCAAGATTTTTTTAATAATAATAATAACCTTATATGAAGGTATTCGTGTGTGTGTGTGTGTGTATGCGTGTGATAACTAACACACGATTCTTTTACACAATTCACAAATAATAATAGGAGGGATTAATATCTTAAATTTTTAATAAGAACAATAAAATTATATTTAAAACGTTAGCCATATCTTTCATCAATAGTTTTGTGTGTGATTCATTAAAATTTTTTTTTTCGCATTATAGATTCAAATCATTCCATAATAAATAAATAAATAAATAAATAAAAAGTTTAATGTTAGATAATTAGAGTTGTTGAAAATTTTCTTTTTAAAAAAAAAAATTAAAATTAAAATAAGTATTAATCAATTATTTTAAGTAAACGAATATTAATTTATTTAATTTTAAATGCCAATAATTAAAATAAAAAAAAAATTTTTTTTTGTTATAAATAATGATAAGGCATAGTTTTCTTCTAAGATCGATTTTCTCCTAAAGATATTAATAATAATAATTTCAATTTTAATTATTTTTTTTTTTTTATATAAAAATTCTTTTTTAATTGCACTTGACATGGTTCCTATAACGATTTGTAAGTTATTAAATATATATATATATATAAATTAAATATATTTAAATATATGTGTGTTTCGTTTTTCGAAAAAAAAAAAAAAAACTATTGATTTTTTTATATAAATGTGATTATTATTATTATTACCCTGTGGTAAATTTTAAATAAGTGATAATTTAATAAAGTGATTAAAATAAAATTATTTTCTTCGCATTGGATAGAGAATAATTTTCAAAAAAAAATATAAAAAACTTTATTTATTTATTTATGAGTTGATTGCTCATATAGAAAAGAAAAAAAAAACTGGAAACTAAAAATAAAAAAAATAAAAAAAAAAAAATTCAAAGTTTTCTTCGTTGTTCGATAACGATCACCCTACAATGAAAATGTTATGCAACACGAAAGGCTAATAAGTAAAAAAAAAAAAAAAAAAAAATTTTTTTTTATGACACGTCACACACACATAAGAGAAGCAAATAAAGTATAATTATTATTAAATTGATTTTGGCTGCAGTAACAATCACAACCATAAGTTTAAATCCATTACGTGTGATGACTTGCATAAATCCCTTAAAACAAAAAAAAAACACACATACATATATAAGTGTTAGAATCGTGACATAAAAAAAAGAAATGTAATCAAAAAAATGAAAAAAATGTAAATTAAAAGCTGTTGGAAAAAAGGGGAGAATTTTTTTTTTTTTTTTTTTTTTTGAGAAAATTATCTAGGGATGGTAATTATTTATTTTATATAATTTTTTTCATTTACAAATGTTTTAAACTTCATAAATAAATTATTAATTAAATAGTAATTTCATGACTTTGAATAGCAAATTTAAAAAAAAAAAAAAAAAAAAAAAATGCACAATTCTCTCTCTCCTTTTTTTCCAAATTAAGTATAAAATATAATACTTGATACTTGAAATACATTTTTATTTAATTTATCAAATTTATGTATCTAGGTAAATCATGTTTTTCTTACTAAAAAACTGAGAAAAGTGGTAAATATTTATAAATATAGAAAATAAGCAACAATGTGAGTATCACACATAATAAAAAAAAATAAAAATTAAGTGTTGCATTAAGTCAGAAGTAGAAAAACCTAAACTTAATATTTAAATTATCCTAATAAGTAAAAAATACAATGTTAATAATATAAAAAAAATTAATTATTAAAGGATTAATTTTTGAAATATTTAATAAAAGTAAATTATGGTTTAACAAAACAATAAAAAGTGCACAAATGAATGGCAATAATGTAATACTAAATGAGCCATCATGTAAAAATTGGTTTGAATTAGTTTAAATTTGTTTAGTTTTAGGCTAATATAATCAAAATCTAAAATCAGTAGGGTATAAAAGTACCACAATAATGAAACACTAAGTAAGGTCACGAAAAGTATAGGAAGAGAAATTCATTATCATTGCCAAATTTAAAAACAGGTAGACATGACCTGCACATTGAATTTGATCGTACGGTACCAAAAATTAATCAAATTATGAATTTTAAAAAAAAAAACGTTTCTTTTACAAAATAAGTGCATTTATTATTATTTTAATACCATTCGATGACCTTACCGTTACCTTAAACTTTAAAAATTCGCAGAAATCTAAAATTAAGTGAACAGTCATTACAAAAGATGCTTCCAGAAAAACGTAATGAGTAGCAGACGCCAATTTACTTTGACGACTCACTAACCAATTCACAAGTTTTAATAAAATTACAAAAGAGAAAACTTAATCATTACTTGAAGAAAAAAATAAAAACGTAATTTAAAAATTTACTTTATTTATTTTACTGTTTAAAAAAAAATGGAAAAAAAATTAAATTAATTTTTTAATTACCAAACAAAGGCTAAAAAGATTCTAATTTCATTAAAATTTTTAGTTTTCGTGCAAACCGTTAGAGTGCGTAAAACTAGTTTCTGTTCTCGAGTTTCGTAGAATATTCTGGAAAACATAGTGAAAATATTAGAGAATTCATTGTGCGGGCTGCTAATTTTTACACATTATTTGTTTGAGATTTGACAAAAGTAAATTTAAGCTCACGGTAAGTTTGTTTTAATTTGATTTTATTTGTTATTTTATATTAAACGACATTTTTAGAATTATTAACTTAAAGAAATTCTAGTAACGTTACTTATTATATCGACATTCGCTTTGTGATTTTTCGTCGTTTCTTCAAAAAATCTTAGTCATGGGCGATTGCAACAATTATTACTTCAATAGTGTGTAATTAAAGTAAACTAGAGCATTTTATTTAAATTTTTACATTTGAAATAAAAAAAAAAACCATGTTTTTTCTTCTTTTTTTTCTCCTTTCAACAAAAATTGAAAAACAATGTGGCGAAAGTCGACATTGCATTCGACTCATATGAGAAAAATTAAAGAAAGAAAAATCACTTCCTTCATTTGTTTTCTGAAATTTGAGATATGAGATGTTAATTTTAAAAGTAATTGCGATAGATTTGACGGTATTATTAAATTTATTGTGGAAAAAATATTATTTTTAATTATATAACTCTAATTTTTAACTTGAATTTGCAATCAGGTTTTCCGCAGTTTTGCTTCTTCTCATTATTGATCGCCCATAACGTACTTCAGTGCCACTTTTGTAATTTCAATTCGTTTAAATTCGTTTTTTTTTTTTTTTTAACAATTTTTTGTAAAATTTAATTGAATTTTTTTATTTATTTTTTATATTGTATAATTTCATTTTTTTTTTTTTTTCTTCAAAATTTTTTATTTAGATAATTAAAATATAGTAAAATGGTAAAAGAAACAACATATTATGACATACTGGGTGTGAAACCTAATTGCACTCTTGATGAATTGAAAAAAGCATACAGAAAATTAGCTTTAAAATACCATCCGGACAAAAATCCTAATGAGGGAGAAAAATTTAAACAAATTTCCCAAGCTTATGAAGTATTATCTAATCCAGACAAAAGAGAATTGTATGATCAAGGAGGGGAACAGGCTATCAAAGAAGGTGGATTAGGAGGTGGCGGATTCTCATCTCCCATGGACATATTTGAAATGTTTTTCGGAGGAAATACACATTTCGGTGGAAAGTCGGGCAGAAAAAGAGAAAGAAGGGGAAAAGATGTTATTCATCCTTTAAGCGTTACATTGGAAGATCTATATAAGGGAATAATTAAAAAATTAGCCCTACAAAAAAATGTAATTTGCTCTGCTTGCCAAGGTGAGTTCTTATTATTATTATTATTAATTTTCTTGAATTTCAATAATTACACGTAAGAAATGTCTTTGTAATTTAAAAAAATTACTTTTTGACGACTTATTTTTTACTCTTAGGGCGAGGAGGCAAAAAGGGAGCTGTAGAAGTTTGTGGAGGTTGTAGAGGTACTGGTATACAAATTCACACACAACAGCTGGGTCCTGGTATGATTCAACAGATTCAAACCATGTGTAGGCAATGTCAAGGAAGGGGTGAATCTATCAGTGAAAAAGATAAATGTAAAACATGTCAAGGAAATAAGGTTAGATCTTTTTTATCATTTTTACACTTTATACTCGCTGTGTAACAAAAGAAATAAATAATAATATGAAAATTATATCGTTTTCTCTCTTTTCGAATGTGTAGACGGTGAGAGATAGAAAAATTTTGGAGGTGCATGTAGATAAGGGTATGATTGACGGTCAGAGAATAGTATTTAGTGGAGAGGGTGACCAAGAACCTGGTTTAGAACCTGGTGATATTATAATTGTTCTCGATGAAAAAGCCCATGAAGTTTTTAAACGATCTGGAAATGATTTAGTGATGAGAATGGATATAGATTTAGTTGAAGCATTATGCGGATTTCAAAAAGTTATTCAAACCTTGGACGACAGAGATTTGGTTATAACAAGTGTGCCTGGTGAAGTTATCAAACCTGGTGATTTGAAATATGTATCTGGTAAGATGGAGAATAATAATAAGTTATAAATTACATTGGCCATCATTGCGCAATTTGATATTGAATTTTTTATCATTTTATGATTTTAGATGAAGGAATGCCTCAACATAAAAACCCATTTGAAAAAGGTCGCCTTATTATTCAGTTTTTTATTTCATTCCCTAGTTCAATTGATCCCAAAATTGTTCCAACTCTAGAAAATTGTTTACCTCCTAGGTAAGTGAAAATTATTTAATTTTTTTTTTTTATTTACTTACTCGACACTCGTTTAATTAAAATAAAAACTAAATTTTAATTAAAGATCGGAGGTCATATTTAAACGTAAACGTAAAACAACAGTGAAACGTAAACGTGCGAAGAAAAATTTACAATTAATAATTTTTTTTTTCTCTCTCTCTCTCTCTCTCTTCTTATTCGACTCGTTTGTCGCCATTTTTCTTTTTTTTATTAAATAATTATTCGTAAATTTATGTATAATTAATTGGTTTAAATTAATTTTATCTTAATCGTTATTCTTATTTGAAGGTCAAGTTTTCTTCTTTACGTACTGCCTTTAAATATTTATTATATTTTTTTACGTAACCGATTATTACGACTTTAATATCATTATTATTATTATTTATGTATTCATTAATTAATTGTAACTTTGGCGATCTTATTAATATTATTATTATTATTCTAAGTAATTTTGAAAAATTAATAAAATTATTACCGTGATTATTTTGTTTCCTAATTTACCAACAAAAAAAAAAAATAAATAAATAAATTTTTAAATCAAGTTTTAATGCAAACAAAAAAAATTTTTTATTTAAATAATAATAATAATAATAATAATAATAAAAATGGACACGGTTTCAAATCACAAAAAGAAAAGAAAATTATTCACACGATCAAAAAGAAAATTTAATTTAACAAAAAAAAAAAAAATACAAAAAAAAAAGCAAAACGTTTTCTCGAAGTATTATTATTATCATCATCATCTTCATCATTATTATTATTATTAATACTAATTATTTAAACCGGTAAATGAAATCACGCGTTTTTAAATTCAATTCGTTTGTCTTTTTCAAAAAAAAAAAAAGAAAAGAAATTATTTAAACAAACATTTGTTTTCTTCTACAAAAAAATAATAATAATAATAAGTCAAACATGAATTTTTTTTTTTTTTGTTTTGTTTATTGTATTATTAATATGTGCATTATATTAAACTGTAGAAAAAAGTTCAGAGATGATGATGATGATGATGACGATAATAGTAATGATAATAGTAATGAGATGATGATGATGATGATGATGATGATGAAAACGATAGCATAACAATAACAAATTTTTGCCGCCTAATTGCGTTTCCTTTTTTTTCCAGATAATTTAGGTGTGCTTTTTTTGTTTCCGGTTCCCCCACCATATTTGGCGGCCAACTCATCTAAAAAGCTGTTCATTTTTTCTCCACGATCTCTATGATTGTTTTCTATCAATAATTTCAACGTTTCCTCTCCTGTCGCATCGGATAAATCATGGGATGCAGCCAACGTTTCTGCTTTTTTGGCTTCCAAAGCCCACTTTCAAAATGTATCATCATCATCATCATCCAGAGATCATGTGGAAAATGAAAAAGAGAGAGAAAGATAGAGAAAAAAAAGAAGAGAGAAAAAAAAAATTAATATCATTAATTACTTATTGTTTCTATTAAATTAATGAGTTTGTGCGACCAATCATCATGTCCTCTTTTTATTAAATTTTTTCCCTTTTCCCTCTCCCCCCCTTCCCGCATGTCCTTTTTGCATTTTCCCCTCCTTCCCCTCGCCC